AGCCATCGAATGCTATATGATTGTTGAGGAATCGATTACGTTTTGCCGGAGATGTGGGTATCACACTAAAAAGTTCGGATTTTGACTAAATCACTCAGTAGTCGTCATTGTAGTCCTCATAACTTTCTTGTTATATGATTAATCGAGCTAATATTTTGGGTTTAGTAGTTTCACCTCATGGGCTATCGATTCCATTAATAAAATGAGGGAGTGAAAATTTTCGAGAGTATGGGGTTTCTCGATCCTATGGTGGGCCCTCTCTTAAACATTCATATGAATTTTTTGTTCTTTTTAAGAACTCTAGCTCTCTATCTTGCACATATTGGCAATCCTCCACCATGGACGGTGAATGGTACGTGTCAGCCGACCTGTCGACCTTCGTTCAGCGAAATGGTCAATTTATTACAAACGAATGCAATGCCAGTGAATATTTCGGGCACCACTCTTCTTGCCACTACAGCCCAACAAGGTGCTGGATTAGTGAATGCATTTCAACTCATTCAAGCCACTACGATAATTTCACCTAGTGAGCTTGCACTGAATGATAGTATCAGACAAGCCTCCTCGTATACTATCGAAGTAACCAATATAGGCAATGAAACAGTCACGTACAATATCAATCATTCTGGTGCAGCATTGGCTACTGGGTTACGGAAAGAAAATGACATGCTTTTAGCTCAACCATTGTATTCAGCCGACTATGCTGTGAGTTCTACTTAATGAATTAGTATCAAATTGAAAGAGTTACTTGAATAGTCGGATAGTGAAACCATAATCAAGCTTTTCTATTTTTCGTGATACCAAAACGACTAAAACCAAATTGAAGTGAAAATTTGTGTACATGCATTTAAAGAAGGGATTTCACAAACAGAAACTTAAAATGATCCCAATTTTGCAAAATTGTGAGCCATGGCTTATCTCAACTACCACTCTCATTCACTGATATCTCACTCTGCATCATGCTAGATTTGTCTTTCCTCGTAATGATTAATAATTAATCGTGAAATAATAATTCATTAGTTGAAAATTTAGTTATAAGTACTTAACTTCATACTCTTCACAAAGTTCGAGTCCAGTTTTGATTTGTAAATCTGACTACGTTTATTTTCACTGTCTCGCATCTTATTATATAAAGTTATCCTATCTCTGGAGTGACATAGATGCATAATTTTAAGAGGCCCTTATCGCTGATTGTTCCATTAAAATAGAATCGAATTCGTTTTATACAATAAACCTATGCTACATTTCTTAACATAAAAAGATTGTCGATATTCAACCAATCACAATGCAACTTAGTCCTGGACAAAAAAGTAATGTTACTCTTCAATTTCGAGCTCCGCCTGATGCTGATCCAGTTCTTCTTCCTATCTTCTCGGGTTTTATAAGTGTTACAAACAGTGTAAATAAACAGGTTGTGCAAGTTCCATGTAAGTATTTATAGTGAACAACACTCGCTCTCTTGCTACTGATCTTATCATGCGCAAATGTATTTCTTTGCAGATGCAGGTATGGTTGGAGACTACAAGAATGCGAGAATTATTGTGCAAAATAATCCATCGGGTATTGCCACTAGAATTTTGAATTCCAATAACGTATCGATTTCAAACACACAAGAAGAAACTCTTATCGCATCAGAATCAATACGAATTAGACTAGTTACAACATGGGCATCGCGCCGTGTTTCTGCTGAAGTTTTTCCAGGAGAAAGTGAAATTTCGGCTAATTCTTCGGCAAGGTAATATATGGTATCATCAAATCTCATTCTTTAGCCGTGTTCAAAGATTCTCAAAAAGTCTTTACCTTATTAATTTACCGAGAATTTGTGAATTACAATAGTGTTTTTCGAAATTTTCATGTTCTAAAAGTGTTGAATCTTGTTAACAACGCACTAAGAAAAGGACTGAGATATTTACTAAGAAAACTCATACTCATTAATATCTAATGACATAGCTAATTTTGTTGCTTCATTCTTTAACAATCTCATCTGTATTGATGTTACTGTGAACTCGGAAGGCCCCTTTATGCACTTCACTGAAGTAAACATTGTAAAGATAGTCTCAAGTTTAAATTAAAGACATACATCAATTCTGCAACTTAAAGAGTTCGTCATATTTTGACTCGTTATGTCAAGTTATTCCATGATATATTCAAGCAAAATATTTACTATGATATTCCTGTCTGAAAAATTCTTTTAACAAAACTTTTTTAAAGAGGAATCAATAACGTTCACCGAAACTTAGAAAATAATAGATCTTAATTTGTAACTATCACGAATCCAACAGCAAATATTCTCTTTGAGATGAATCCGGTTTCCTTCTAAACATATTTTCGATATAACTTAGCTGAAGCGTTTATAAAACTAAAAGCTTTCAAAATTGCAATTATGTAAGTCCTAAAATCCAAATGAGTTCAGAGATAAAAAAGGAAGCTGTCAAATCTTCTCTTACTCATTTCAAAAAGTCCTAGTTTGTCAGTTAGTTGAATGATTTATGCATAACACTTGACAATATAATCCAAGTTGAACTAGCACCCTAAGAAATGATGTGAGTGTTTCATTAAAAACTCAAATAAAGCAACAGTCACGTTTACAAAATAGAACAAAGTGAGTGGTCTTCATCCAGTACTTCACCCAAATTACTCTAAAAAAAAAGAAGCACAAACTGATAACTTTTGCACTGTCAGACATTGATTAAATTAGTTATTGGAAAGATAAATTAAGAAAAAATATAGGTTTGAAACGACTAACTAAACTAAAATCACAGACTTCTTTTGGCATTTCGCACTCTCATCCTGAGTTTGAGAAATTTTCGAATGCTTTTAGTTGGCTGAAAAATAATTTGTTTTCTCTTTACAGTTACGGATATGTATTCGATGACTCCAATGATAAACCAGTAGTTTATACAAACTTAGTAAGAAATGCAGCTGTAGCTGGATCTCATGCACAGTTCTACGGAATTTCTTGGTCTGGTCAAGTTAGTGTGAGTGTTAGGAATGGAAGTTTGGTGGGATATGAAACAACCAGTCTTCCTGATGGTCGATATAAAATTCGATTTTCAGCTCTTCAACACTTTGGAAATCCGGAGAACCCTAATGACTTTGACATCTATGAGTCACCAACTTTCAAGCTGATCAGATTGCCTACTACATCCCAGTCTCCCGTAACAATCTCAGAGTTTACAACACTTCCACCATTTACTACAACTACAACACTTCCACCGTTTACTACAACTACAACACTTCCACCGTTTACTACAACTACAACACTTCCACCGTTTACTACATCTACATCACTTCCCCCGTTTACTCCAAC